GCCTCGCGAACCCGCGGCCCGGCTCGGTCCTCGCGCCCTGAGCCTCGCCCGCACGCCCGCAGCGGGCCCTGAGCCGAAGCCAATCGTAGCCCGCTGCAGCGGCGCGCGCAGACCCCGCCTCCCGGCCACGGGCCAATCCTAGCGGAGCAGCCCCCTGGCCCGCACACCGGCCCCGCCTCCCGGACTTCGCACCGCAGCCGGGACCCCCGCCCGCTGCTCAGTAAGTACACCTGGGCCCCGCCCCCAGATCGTCACGTGTGCGACTCCAGCCCATCCCATTGGCCGACGGCCTTCCCCCCTCCCCCCTTCGCCTCTTTCCACCGGCCGCGGGAAATCAAACGGGCTGGTCGCGCCCCAACCGCCACCTGGCCTCTCCGTGAAGGGCGGGGCTGAGGGGCGTGGCTTCAAGGTTGCCCCTGACGACCAGGGTGGGGAGCCCAAGCCATCTACACCTTCTAGATTTACTTTGCCCGCACGCTGCTGGGTGTAGACGTGTTTTTCTATCCTCCACCATCCTTTGTAGAAGACGCCCCTGCACACACCGGAGCTATGGGGTCCGCCTTGCAGGCTAAAACGGGCAGAACGATTTTTTCAGCTTACAGTTACCCTCGCAAGCTGGGACTCCTCACTTTTTTGTTTTTGAGACAAAGTTTGCATATAGTACAACGCACAGCTCTTCGATGAGTTTTGATAAATGCGTTCATCCCAGTAGCCTAATCAGGGTATTTTATCAAGTTCCCTCAAGCCTCTTCCAGGCAATCCCAGCGCCCCCTGCAGATCTAGGCAGTTTTGAAGTCTACCACCCTAGACTGGTTTCAGGGACTCCTGTTTATATGCCTGGTGCCCTGGTCGCCCGCCGGGCGCCAGGCTTGGTCCCACGCAAAGCCTTTGCACAAGCAGATTCCTTTGCTGGAACGCAGCCTGTGTCTCTTAGGGCTCTCTTCTTCTTCTTTATTAAAGATTTATTTTATTTAACTTTATTTACTTATTGATATTTCTTAATTTGACCACAGAGGGACAGAGTGAGAGAGAAAGAAAGTGAGAAAGCCAGTCACCAGGTCCAGGACTTGAACCACGGTCAGCCATGTGGGAGTCCAGCGCCCTCAACCACCACGCCACCTGCCGGCCCCATTAAGGGCTCTCTTCTTGAAGCACCAGTTTACCTATCACTCCTCATGATCACATCATCCCTTACTGTTCTCATGGCATTTTTGAGAATATGAAATGATTCTGACCATTGCTTATTTGTTCTACCCCCTGCCCGCCCCCCCCACACACACACACACACGCTAGGCTGTCAACTCCACAGCACTAGGAATCTCTTATCTTAAAAACATGTATAGTTATGCCTGCTGCCTGGGACAGTACCTGGCACAACGTAGGCGCTCGATATTTATTGACTACAATATAAGAAGAGGCCCCCATTCCAAAGATGAGATGACTGAGGCCCTGTGCGAGGCTTGTTCCAGGTTTCTCCGGAGCTCAGGAAGACTTCCCGGAATAACGAAGAGTCCAGAGTCGCTCCTCCCGAGGTCGGTCGCCCGCACCCAGGAAGACGCAGGCTGCGCTGCACAGCGCGTACTTTTAGCCAGGACAGCGCGCCCGGGGGTAGCACACGTGCACCCAGGCGCCGCTCCGCCCGCCCCACGTGCGTTTCCCTTGTGCTAGTGTCCCCCGCCGGGCCGCTTGTCCCCTCCGTTTTTTTCCCCGGCCCCCCCGCCCCCCCTGCCTCCGCCTCTGTAAGTCCCCACGCGCCCTCTGCCGGTCCCCTCGGAGGACACCGCGTCCGACCTGGTTCTGCCCCATCCACTACCCCGCGCACCCCACTCTCCCGGCCCTTTTCTAGTTGAAATTTTGATTTTCAGGGCATGGGTACAGCGGACAGGAAAAAAAAAAAGACGAAAGACAACTAATTCCTAAGATAAGACCATAAAGAACACAGAGATAATCATCAGAATCATCAGCCCTTAGCCTTTTATTTTTTTTAAAGAATGACTTATTTAGGGACCAGCAGTTGGTGTAATGGCTCTATCACTGGGCTCTCATGGAGTCGACTGCGGTTCGGGTCCTGGACCCAGTGGCTTACACTCACGCTGGACCCATGTGCATGCGTGCCCAAAATCTTGAGAGAAGAATGGAGGAGAAGGGAAGGGATTGCAACGTGGTCATCCCCACTGGGAAGTGATTTCTCACTTTCTGTCTCTCTGTCTTTCTGATGAGTGCACGAGCCCTATAGCAAAAAAAAAAAGGGGGGGGGAGAATTTGTTATTTAATTTGTTTTCTTAATTTGCTGTAGGCTTACTAAAAAGAGAGAAAGGGAATGTGAAAAAGCAAGCCACCAGGTCCTGAACTCAAAACCATCGTCAGCCAGGTGGGTGTCCAGCGCCTTAACCACCTTACTACCCTTACTACGCACTGGCTCCCCTCGGACTCTTAAGGACCGATTGACCTGTGCCCAGCGCTGAGCTCAAGGAAGCTGTGAGGCTGGTGGTCAGGTCTGGGGGAAGGCAAGCGAGAGACCTCACAGCATGATTGCAGCAGCAAAAGGATCCCACAGAAGGTACAGAGGGACCTCAGGTGTGGGCTGGTGAACTGCAGGGAGAGGGTGAGGTGAGAGGGTGCTCACAGGAAGGCCCAGTGGACCGCTTTTGGAGTAAGATTAAGCCGGGGTTGGGAGCGTTGCAGGAAAAAATACCCCTGGCAGAAACAACAGCTCTCCATGAAACAACCTGTCCATTCAACAGTTAGATACTCTCTACCCCCATGGAGAATGATTAGCAGGTGCCACAGAGAATTGCTGCTGAAGGGTTGTGCATTTCATTTTTTGGTTAATTTTTTTTGAGAGGTTTTTGCTATAGGGTGCGTGCACTCACCAGACAGAAACAGAGAGACAGAAAATGAGAAATGACCCCCCCACCAGGGGGGATGGCCATGCCACAATCCCTTCCCCTCCATTCTCTTTTCAGAATCTTGGGCACACACACATGCGTGCGCCCGGCATCAGTTTAAGCCACCAGGTCTAGGACATGAACTGCGTACTCTATGGGAGTCCAGAGACATAGCCATTATGCCACCTACGGGTCCCTATTATTATTATTATTTTAAATTTGACCAGAGAGAAACAGAGAGGGAAAGTGAGAAAGCAAGCCACCAGATCCTGGACTAGAACCATGGTCAGCCACATGGGAGTACAGTATACTTAATCACCATGCCACCTGCTGCCCCCCCGTTTTTTTCTTATGGAGATTTTTTTTTTTTTTTTTTTTGCTTTAGGGCACGTGCACTCGTGGGGGCTAGGGAAGTGGGACAGAGACTGTGAGAGGGAAAGCAAGAAATCACCCACCAGGAGGGATGGCCAAACCACAATCCCTTCTCTAGTCTCCTCCCTGGATCTTGGGCAAGTACACACATGCACATAGCACTAGGTCTGGAACTCAAACCAGTCAGCCCTGTGGGAGCCGTAATAGCTAAGCCATCTGCTGGCTCCTCAGTGACCCCTTTTGTTTGTTTGTTTCTTTGTTTGCTTAGGCAGATAGTATAGAAACTTTGTTTATTTGTACTAAGTTAAGTAAAGTACATTCCCAAGAAGTGAGAGTGGGCTGGCTGAAGTCAGACCAGCCACTTGCTGATGGCTCTCAAACCTGAGTTTCCGGCCTGGAGTCCCTCCGAGCTTCCGCCAGCTCCTACTCAGGAGCTGTCCAGCCAGTTGTTCCTCGGGTTTCTGAACCTTGACAGCCCCAAATCTAAGTGCTCCTCTTTCTCTGGACTAGCAGATGGCATAACGGACTCCCATGTAGTCGACTGCAGTTCTAGTACCAACCCGGCAGTTTAAAATTCATACTGGGCATTTGTACATACATGCCCAAAATCCCAAAAGGAGAATGGAGAAGAAAGGATTGCAGCATGGGGCCATTCCCTCTGGGGGGTAATTTCTTGCTTTCTGTCTCTTTCTATCTCTCTGGCAAGCACATGTGTATTAAGAAATCTCTCTGAGGGACCAGCAGTTAGTGTAATGGCTATGTCGCTGGACTCCTATGTAGTTGATCGTGGTTCGAGCCCCAGACCCGGTGGCTTAAACTCACGCTGGGCACGTGTGCATGCCTGCCCAAGATCCCAAGAGGAGAATGGAGAAGAGATTGTGGTGTGGCCATCCCCCCTGGGGGGTGATTTCTCACTTTCTGTCTCTCTGTCTCTGTCTTTCTGGCAAGTGCATGCGCCCTGTAGCAAAAACCTCTCAAAAAAAAAAAAAAAAAGCTCTCTGAAAAACAAAAACAAAAACAAGCTCCTTTCTCTCTCTGTCCCCCCCTTCTTACTGGGCTATGCCATCACCATGTACCCCTAAACAAACATCCTTTGGTGCCTATTCCACCTTTGTAAAACAATCTCCCCTGCATGCCCAGGCTTAAGCTGAATATTTGTAGTACTGAATTGAGATCATTTTTGAAAGACTTAAAAGATGGTGTCAGGCTGGCAGGTGGTGTGGTGGTTAAGGTGCTAGACTCCCACATGGCCAACCACAGTTTGAGTCTCAGGCCTGGCAGCTTGCTCTCTTACTTTCTCTCTAAATCGTCTTCTCTCCTCAAATTAAAAATAAGAACAAATTGGGGACCAGCAGGTGGCGTGGTGGTTAAGGCGCTGGACACTCCCACAGGGCTGACCAGGGTTTGAGTCCTGAATCTGGTTGCTTGTTTTTTTTTCTTCTTCTCTCTCTCACTCTCACCCTCTGTCTCTCTGGTCAAATTAAAAAATTTTAAAAAATTATTCAAAAAAAGAACAAATAAAATAATTTTTAAAAATATGGTGTCACCGGGAACCAGCAGTTAGCGTAATGGCTATGTCGCTGGACTCC